TCTTTCAAATTACATATAAAGAGATATTTGTATCCTAGAACGTATATGAAGTTTCAGTGAAGTTGAATTTGAGGGGAAATTTCAAAGAATGGGTGGACTTAACTGGCCAGAAAAAATGCCGAAAATTTAAGTTTCGTAAAATGTTTATTTTTTTCCATCATATAAACCCCCGATATCTTAACCGTGTATTCATGGTACGGATGTGAATTTAAAACGCTCTTTTCGAGGTAAACTAAATAGATATCGAAGGCATGGTACCTGAAGATTTCTTGAATATCAATAGATAATCAGGGTCACGCGTTTTTCATCGTCTGAATACATAGTCAGCACATGTTTGTCGGCTGTTCTTAAGAAAACTGTAGTTGTATATTGAACAAAATAATGTTATATTAAAAGGAGAAGAGCCGACAAACGTGTGCTGATACTTAATTTACCAAAAAACATGTTAGGAACAAACTTCTCGCTTCCATTGTTATGTCTTCGATTGACCTGTTAAATATTACAATTCATCACGTGATGTCCACCTGCGAGTGTACTCGTGAAAACAGTTACATTGTATTCTTCAACCTGACCTCGATCTAAATCATGTCTTTGAGCGTGTTTTGTTGCCGTTTTCAGAATTTAGCAAATTAAATGTTGTTTAAATTTTGCGTGTCATCACATTTGTAAAATAATTTCGTACTGACATCGCTGTAATATGCTAAACACGTATTCGAATTTTTGGAGAGAGAGAGAGAGAGAGGGATAGAGAGATGTCAACAATGACGCCGATCGATAGCCCCGCCTCCTATAAATATTGATTGTGTGACATAAAAACCACTCCGGGTACATGTCGAATTCCGGAAGACGACACACATGTATCGTTGCTTCAATTTTGATACATGACAACAGGACATTGTTTTTGCACAAATATTCCACCTAATATAACCAAGTATATGTAGCTCTTTCCATTGCTCGTAATATATTTTGGATTCACTTCATTTACAGCTTGGTAGAGGAGTCACAAAAAGATCCAAAATAGGGCGTTAAGTCCACCCATTCTTTAAGACAGATGAAACATACCAACAATGGATGCCTGGATAAGCATATATTTTTGGGTCCATTTTTGTTGCAAATGATGCAAACGACAACTTTCTTAATTGCATACAATAACTTAAATGTTAAGAAATTATAAACCTTATGTGGTGTTCAAAATTCTTACTCTCTGCGATCATCCTTTTAAATCTATACAAGTAGTTTCCTTTCAGATCCGAACATTGGGAAATTTTTGAGAGAAAAAACTACGTGGTGAACCTTGTTCATTTTACTCATTTAAATATGACTCAAGTTGTTACTTTTAATTTCATAACAAAAGTTTTTTTGTATCACCTGCCCTTCAATTGATTCTTTATTTGAGACTACGCAATAAAATTGAACAAAACATAAAATAATTATTTATAAGTTTAAATATACGGAGGTGTTTAAAATGCTCTTAAGTTCACGTTGATACTGATTGGGATGTCGTTTATCAGGTGAACCATTGCGGTGTTACTTTCCCCTTTTGTCCAGAGCCTTTTATTCATACATAGGGAGGATTTCACTTAACGTCTAGCATTAGCCTTCCTTGTTTACAAATAATGAAACGATGCTTGCTGCATAATTTCCTGTTTCTTCACTGAAATCTAACAACGTCTTTTCTTTCCAAATGTATGTTTCCTAACTATATAGAACCCTCTGTCTTATTGTTCACGGTTGTTTAGTCGGTAGCGCACTCGCTCCGTGTTGGTCTTGAGTTTGAATCACGGCAGCGACTGACCTAAGGCTATAAAAAATGGGTAGCAACTGTTCCTTCGCCATGTGCTCGGCACTTAAAGAGTGTATTCGATTAAGACAACTCGTGTCACACTAGTGTTAAATATGCGCATGCTCACTGATTGAACTCTAGTGATCTAAATAAAACATCTCGTGTTGTATAGTGTTTATTTAAATAATGCGGGAAAACAGTATATATTCCCTTTATATCTGGTTTGAATATGACAAACAATTGATCAATAAACAATTTGCAATTATCAAATAAAGAATAACTGATAAATTCTAACAAAACCTCAAAGCTGAGAAATTAATTGTTCAACATTACAAAATGTATTTTCTACATATACAACATGTATATTATAGATCATTTATCCTTGCAATATTATTTCACAAGTCCATACCCCCTCTTATTTAAATAAAAAAAAAGTAGAATAAGAACGTCTTCAAAAATATACAATGTAATAGTATTAATTATGATAGTGACGTATCATCTTTTTTAAAAAAAAAAAAAAAGGGGGGGGAGGGCAAGCCACAAAAAAACTTGACAAAAAAGACATTACACATACTCGAAAATCCCATTTAGTTGGAGGAGGGGGATGTAGGTCACATTTTCTTCTGCACTAAATTGTATTCATAAGATTCGACCTAACCCTTGCTTGGCTTTACTGTAACAAAAAGGAGGAGGAAAATATCGGTGGTCTTTCAATGAAGATTTTTTAAAAATAAAGAGTTATGTTTGGAAAATAGTGTAGGGTAACGCTTCGACCAGTTGCTACGTGCCTGTATACCCCCCCCCGTAACATTTTGCATGGGATATAAAAAAAAATGGTCAGAAAAGTACCATAGCTGACGTTTTTCATTAATTAAGTGTTAGTCATAGTATGTGAGAGACATACTTTTATTTTAAAAAAAATTGTACGCCGGTGTAACGTTGAATTTTGATCCGAGTTGAAAATTGACCCGGGGGTCATTTTTCAACGTTGAATAGTGAGACCAAAGATGTTGAATTTAGACCCTAGTCCGTTGAAAACTGAGCCGGGTCGTGGAATTTTGATCATGAAACCGGTTCTAAATTCAACAGCATAAAAACACATATTTATGACTTGATTTTCACAACTGTGATTTAATCCATAGGCGTCGGGACGGGGAGGGGGGCTAGGGATGATTACCGCCTTTTTGGCAAAGATAGATATAATATAGGCATTGAACAATGTGGAATTGGTTTAGCCCCCCCCCCCCCAACTTTAAACAGGCACGTTACAGTGTAGTCAAAGAAAGAAGTTTACAGTGTAGTCAAAGAAAGAAGTAAGTGGTAGTGCTTGAAAAAAAGAAGAAAAGAAAATGGATCCTCCTCCCCTAACCCCCCCCCCCCCTTCTAAATAGGATTTTCGGGTTTGGATAATAGACAAATATTCTTTTTCTTTTTCTTGTCAATTTTTTTTCAGATTTGAATTTTTTTCTTTTTCAATTAGACCCCCCCCCCACACTTTCAATTTGCTTCCGACACCAATTTAATCAATGCACACTTAATTCAGTAACTCAGTTATATTTTTAGAATAAAATATTAACAAAAATACCTCAGATTTCAAAGTTACATGTAGCTTAAAATTGCAGTATTTTGTGTAATATTTATTTAAAAAGAAGTACATTTGTATAAGTAAATCCTGAATATTAGTAAACATAGTTACCCAATATACAATTTAGTTCAGAAATTTCTTTATTTATATTTTTTTGTTGCTAACAACTCATTTATTATAATTTTAAAATTCGTAATATAAGTATTTGGGAAATGGTGAGCGTTTAACGCATGATGCACGTAACGTTAGATACACAACCCTGACTTTCAGCGTCATTTAATTTTTGTTTAAAAAAATAGCCAAAATATAACATTGATACCTCCCCCCAAATCGGGGAAACACAGATAGTTTGTGAGGTATTTCTGATGCGGCCCTTCCATCCAATTCGAGAAACATGGTTTGGTTTTCAACATTGGCTAGTTTCCCTTTCCCCTTTTTGTTTGCTTGTTTGTTTGTTTGTTTGTTTCGTTTCGTTTATTTATTCTGTTTATGATTTTTTGTCACAATGTTTCAGAAGGTTTTGATACAATACCCCGCCTCCAAGAAAAACTTCATGATCCCTCTCCCTCTCTCTCTCTCTCTCTCTCTCTCTCTCTCTCTCTCTCTCTCTCTCTCTGAAGAGGAATGCGCTTTTTCGATGTTTAGATCAAGAAAAGTTGCAGGGACGGCGTTTTTTAATTATTGATATCAAAGATGGCGAGAAGTGTAGCTTCTAATCCATCCCAGACTCTTACTCTACTTCTCATTCTCAAGGTTATGCTCCGAAAACGATCGATTTTTAGACCGAGGCAGGCTACTGACAGATAAGTTTTTTTTACAGGGATTTCACCAACCTTGTTTAAAGTCAGCATTACTTACATGTTATGGTCGCTTTATTGATCTTTTCACAAATGTAACCTATCATTGGATTCATTTTGACTGTTGTGTTTCATTCTAATTTTTAGGCTTTTAATTTTGTTATTTTTTATATTGAGATGTTCTGCCCACCTGGAGCCCGTTTCACAAACGTTTCCTAAGATATGTCGTAAGACATAACTTAAGATATGCCTAAGTTATAACTTAGGAAGTTCCTAAGATTTGTCACAGCTGTTTCACGAAACAATCTTAGCTTAACTTTATCCTAAGACATTTCTTAAGCTGTGTTATATATAATAATTAGGCAATAACCCACACAACTACAAATCCTTAACATGTATTGTAAGAAGGAAGTCGGTTTGAGTAGTCTTTAGTTTAAATTAGCTTATTTCAATTAGTTAGAAAAAAATAGTCTGAAAGGGAGAGAGGTGTGGAGGGGGGGGGGGGGTAAGGATTTCTTTTACTTTAATATAAAATGGACAAAAGTGTGATTAAAGTGACCTACTCAATTATTTTCCTTGACAAGTTGCCCGATGGAACTAAGTACACCCTCACCTCCATACCACATACGATATACATGCATGTATTTCTTGTTTTTTTTTTAATTATTCTTAAAGTAGGTGTTTGCTTAATATAAGGTAACGTTCCTAGTAAACATAATCGAACACGACAATCGTTAGATATATTTTTTTTCTTCATGAATGGGTGCTTTTTCTTTGTCTGATCTGCGTTAGTAGTCCGTGCTTCGTTTAAAGCTTTCTCGCTCACAAAATAACAATGTCTCGACAGAAGAGGAACCCCAATTTTACGAATGCTGAAATAACTATTCTTGTAGAAGAAGTAGAAAAAAGAAAAGATGTTCTTTTCTCCAAGCACAATTCCACCGTGACTAATCAAGCCAAAAAGGGGGAATGGGACCATATTTGTTCTAAAGTGAATTCGGTCAATACAAGTTACATTAGTTCAGCAGAGGAACTAAAGAAAAAGTGGAGTGCCATTTCCAGCGAAGGTAAATAGAAATTCGCAAAAATTAAAAGGGAACAGAGAAAAACTGGTGGTGGCCATTTGCCGACAGACTGTAGTACAACCCCACTAGAGGAAAAAATACAATCAATTTTGGGTGAGACATCTATATCCGGAGTTGAGGGGGGCATCGACACTCTTGTACAAAGTGAACGAGGTTCGTGTCCACTAATACATGTACTAGTATTACATATGAATATCAAATCTTTTTTAAATTCCTCGTGTATATTAATATCCTTATAAGGGATATATTCAAATATGGGCATTTTTCCTATGTGGTTAATTTGTTTGGTATTCTAAAAAATGCCCATTTACAACAAAAAGTTTGTTTTTATACTTGCAAAAAACATAGCAGAGTAGACTCATGGATGGAGAAATAAATTATATTGAGGAAAGTTGAAGACGATGGTATTGATTCTAAAAATGATTGAGAAAATACATTGTTATTTACTTCAGATTAAACACATACATTCACACACCCTACCTCACCTACACACATCCTCATACACACCCATACATTAATATATATATAACGTATATAATTTATTTATTATAATATTTATAACTTTTATTTTATTTTAAAGATGAGTCGAATGAAGTGCAAAGAAAAGGGGATTTCTTTACAGAACGTCTATCAACGGACCAATCATTGGAAGTATCTACGGCTACAACAACAGTCACTGCTACACGTACTGAAACTAGCAAACCTACATCAACATGCCTTAATGGTAAACTCATCATTTCAATCTGTATACTTGAGTCATCATCGCCTTTTAAAACTGATCAATCACTGCACTGAAAATAATGCTATATTTAGTTTAAAGAAATGACCTTCAAAAGATAAAAATATCTCCCTGAGAAATACAGACCCCTCTAAAGATTGCAATGAAAGACATGTATCTGAAGAGAAAAAGAATATTCCTTACTTTTTTAAAATTCATTTTCTTTCTATGTCTGACATATCTTAGAGTTCATGTGCATCCCAAACTGGAAAATAATCCTGCGCTTGTATTACTTATACTAATCTTCAAATGTGTAACAATATTTTTATTCGTTCATTCTTTTTCACTTGTAGCACCAACTAGGAAGCGGAAACAGGACCTGCAATCACCATCACTGGAATTAGTTAAAATTGAAAAAGAAAGACTGGAAATAGAGAAAAAGAGAATGGAGGTGGAAGCAGAAAGACTGGCGGTTGAGCAGAAACGGCTTAGTATAGAGCAGGCTAGACTGCAAACTGAGCAAGAAAAACATAATATTAAACTTTGTCAGTTGGGCATTATTTCTAATGCTACAGTTACACCTGTCCAATAAATAAATTTTGCAGATATTATAAATGTTTTATATTTCATATTACACTCATTTATACACACAAGTATTTTATTCTTCAGTAAATGTCATTCATTAGTACAGGTGCATACATTTTCTAAAACCTACATGTTCATACATTTTCTAAAACCTAGCTTCAATCAACCGTCTCCTATTGTCATTTCCATCATTTAGCGTTCCACGATATACACAGTCATTACCGTCATTAATAACAGGCCTGCCTTGTGGTTCTGGGACTCTGTTTTCAACACAAATGTTGTGCAAAACTGCAGTCGCCACTATGATGTTGCAGGTTCTTTTGGCTGAAAACTGTAAAGTACCACCAGAAGTGTCCATGCAGCGAAAGCGCATTTTCCACACTTCGAAACACCTTTCAATTACATTTCTCGTTTTTATGTGTGCTGTATTATAGGCATTCTCCTTGGGTGTGGTTGGATTCATAACAGGTGTAAGTAGAAATGATCTAAGTGGATATCCACTGTCACCTAAAAGCCATCCTCTTGGGATGTTCTTGTTTTCAAAAAGTTGACAAAGAGTGGAATTGTTCCATACAAACGAATCATGTGATGATCCAGGCCACTTTGCTACTATATTAATGAATTTCAGTTTTGCATCACATACAGCCAGAGTGTTTATAGAGTGGTAATTTTTTCTATTCACAAAGACGTGTTCTTCAAATGATGGGGACTTTATTCCCACATGGGTACCGTCTATTGCGCCTATAACACTAGGGAAGCCACAAATTCTGGAAAAATCATACATTCTGTTTGTAATTTCATTCTCATCAACGGACATTTTTATATATCTTGGACTTATTTTGACCAATGATTGAGACACATCTCTAACAATTCGTGAAATGCTTGCCTTACTTATTCCATGTAAGTCGGCAGTTACTGTTTGAAAGTTACCAGTAGCAAAGAAACGTAATGCAGCCATAAGCTGGAAGTGCATGAGACCTTCGTGTAGGCCTTGTGATGTCATTTTGTATCGTTTGACAGATGTCCAATATCAAATGACGAGGCAGTCTGAACTTTGAAATGATCTCACGATCATCCATATAGTCCAAAGGATTGTTTCTATCCCTAAACAACCTCTCTCTCCGTAACAGTCTCCGTTCGTTTATTACTAAATATACAGCCGCCATATTTAGTTTCTTCCTAAGACATCGATTTACCTGTCCTAAAGTTACGACATAACTTAGGAAAATCATAAGATAAGACAAGAATAGTGAAACGGATAAGAAATGAACTTAGGAAAAAGTTCTTTCCTAAGATATAACTTAGTCCTAAGTAGGCTTTGTGAAACGGGCCCCAGATTTCCAGGATTTTTGTTTTATGCCCTATTCATAGTTTTGTAGTTATTTATGGATGTGGATTTTAAAAAGTATTGTCAAAAAAGTTGTCATGCTTGAAGATAACTGAAATTGTGTACTGATCAAAATGTACATATAAACACGGGATGATAGGTTTAATTTCTATTATTCTTAAAAGGGGAAAAAAATTGAAACCGAGATATAAATATAGAGATACTGATAAGTCCCGTAAAACAACTTCCCAGTTCAAATAATGTTCAAACTCTGAGTTGGGGTCAATAGTCAATTTTCAACTTGTTGAGGTCATCGGGGATAAGAAAAAAAAATTTCAAGCTGTTGAAAAATGACCCCGAGTATAAATTCAACGACTTTTGGTCTCAGTTTTCAACGGAGAAAAAACACCTCTGGTTCAATATTCAACGTTGAAAAATGAACCTAGGGTCAATTTTCAACTGAGGTCAATATTCAACGTTACACCGGTTGGAAAGAAATCGTGAGCTAATGTGTTCATTTCATGGTCTTACATGGCTGTGGATTTTAATTTTGAGTCTGTAAAAATAATGTTCAATAGGCCTATTTCAATTAGAATTATTTTTTGAAAAAATACGCATGAAATTGGTCAATAATTACTACGATTGTAGTTAAAAGACTGATATGGTTATTTCTATATACTTTATCATTTTAAGTGTATATTTATTGTAAACAACAAACAGCTGGTTCTGGGGACGCGACCTCCATATTCATAAGATAAATACATGTCTATAACTGAAATTGCTCTCCCATTTGATCCTGTAATTATCCTAAAACTGGATTATAACTAATAATAATAATTTAAATTTAAAAGGGTAATTAATACCACATATCTATGCTGCGATTGTAAATCTATAAAATTAATTTTAGTGAATCAATATGCATCTATTAGAAAAAAAATTATAATCCAGGGGCCCGTTTTACAAAAGAACTTACATATAAGACCAAAATTTAATTCTGCGATTTTATTATTCTTGAAAAGAATTTAATATATTTCTATGGTAACACTTTCCAAAACAATTAATTTTCAAAAAAAATATAATCAACATAAGTTTTTGGTTTTAGTCGTAAGTTATTTTGTAAAACGGGCCCCAGAGGTTCAGGCAACATTTAGCCAGAGTAAAAAAAAAACCTGGATAAACTTCTTTTAAAACAAAATAAAAACTGTCAATGATAACACAATAGTAAATTTATGAGATTAACATAAAAACTAAAAAAAGGGGGTGTCAAATGATATTTCAGACTGTTTTCATAGACGTTGTAAATTTCTAATAATACAAACACTGAAACATTTTCGCATTTGCAATGCGACTTCACTTCCCGCCATTTCTTTCACCTGTTACTCCAGGTAAACTGAGGAGTATACTCGCGTAACACGGGTTGATCACCCGTGTCGAAGATAGGTTGATTTATTTACAACTCTAGTGACTCGTGTAACCCGTGTCGCTTAATCGAATATACCCAAAGTGAACGTCTCGGGTCCTTCGACCGCGACCGTATCAATCGATGCCCCGTGTTACTGGCGGCGTTGTCATGATGAAAATCCCTCACTGCTCAATGGCCCTGAGTGCCCAGTAACGGTCAAAATTTGAAGCTTTTCACCGGTATACGGTGACGTTTCTATATGAGTGAAAAAATTCTCAAATGCTATATATAAGCTTTTCTTCTTTTTTTTTTTCATCACGGGGATGAGCCAATATATCTCACTGTTTGAGTTCATTGCATGATTTCTTTTTCGGATTTCAATACATGGATTGAAACAGAAGCTTTTCTTATGATTTTTTGTAAAGCAGGAAAAGTAATTCTTCATAAACTATATCATTTATTTCTAGGTGTTTATATTCATATTAAACTTTTTCCACAAAACAATTTCAATTATGCATCAATACGTAAGCAGAAAAAAATAAGATAAAGAATTCCTTACAGTAATCTAACAACACTTCCGAGTTTTGTAAACAATTTTTTTTCTCTATTTTCTCAAAATTATAATATTTGCTAAACTTTCAATCCTACTTAATTTGAACCAAATGAACGAGGAATTGGGGGCATTCGGAAGGAAATACGTAGAAGCCAGTCCCCATTATTTCTTTCGTGCAGTTAAGTAGTAGGGATATTATTTCAATTATTTTCACTTATATTTTCGTCAAGAATGCGTAACTTTCGGGCCTGATTGATAAACATTTAAATGAAAAGGCATTGTTTGAAATATTTAAATATAGTACGGTTTAAGCAATTTTGGTCCAGCCCACTGATGATGAGCCATTGTTTAATATGTGTTCATTTGCAGGCTTTTGGTGTTGAATAAAGTCTGCAGAAGATTGATAGATTGATTGTATGTTGTTTAACGTCTTACTCGAACATTTTTCACTCATATAGAGACTTCACCGTATGCCGGTGATGGGCTTCAAGTTTAGACTTATTCTCGGCACCAGGGCCATTGAGCATTGAGGGGTTCTTTATCGTGCCAACGCCTACTGTGGCACGGGACCTACGTTTTTAAGGTCATATCCGAAAGACCCGTGACTTTCACTTCTATGCCAAGCGTTTAGCGGAGGAACAGTCAATACTTATGTTTACGTCTTAGGTTTGACGCGGCAACGAGAATCGAACCCGGGCCTCCCGATCACGAAGCGAACGCTCTACCACTAGTCTGTAAAAGAAGCTGAAAGTTTTGAAGTGTTTTAGGTTATCTTAAAAAGAACTCTTTGAAAAAAAGAGATAACGATCAGAATTCAAGATAAAATTATTATATAATCTCTAAATTTTGATTTTGTCTGGCATTTCTGTTGTATATTTCTGTTGTATATGAAGAACACCAGGAAAACTGAACATATAGTCAACAATATTTTGCGAGTTTGATTTATACGGTACCTATTACTATTTATTCTTTAGAATCGTATGATTGGTAGTATACAAATAGAATCCTTTGACATAAACTTGTCTCTTTTAAGCTATTTTTCATACAGCACATGATCTATAACTAATTTGCACTATGATAAAAGTTTTTGTTATAGGATATATATTAAGGCATATTTTATTTTGGGGAAGTGTATTCATATTTTAGTTCTTACTGCAGAAACTCATGCACACCTATCTTCTGCCAATACTCAGAAGGTTGCAGTTTCTCACAGCCTGTTTTCCAAAAATCTGGACTTTTAGAGGAAACTTTGTTACAACTTATTTCTACTTAATAGTAATGTTGAAGATAGTACAGGGTGTTTGTCAATTAATTGATTTATCTACATGGTCATTTTATGCATAAAGTGAACCTAATTGGATACACGAAGATACATATCGGATTTCAGATGTTAAACTAATTATACGGTATCTTTAATTTTGCTTTTTCATGTTTTAATAAAAACCAATCTTACTCAATATCAAAGATAACATCATACATCTTTCTTTAATTTAATCATTGAAGCACATTACCTTACTTAAACTTAAATAAGATTTTTCAAAAGAACCACACTTCTCAAAAATTGATCATTCTATCTTCTTAAAAATTATAAATGTTAAAACTCATGTTCGTTTAAATTAGATCTTGTGACCTAAACAAACAAGTAACATTAAGTTAAGATTTTGGAATTCGGTTGTTTTACTGAATAACTTTGACCTGCCAAAACTAGAGAAAAGGGCAGACTAAAAACTTTTTTAGGAATTTTAAAAGTTACGTGTAATAAAATAGTTAAACAAGGATAGCTACACAATATTTTATCCATTTGCTATCCATCAGAGCTAGGTACGAATTCAATGTTGTTTAACATAATCATGATTAGTAGATATCGTTATCATTGCTACATGTAATCTGATAAGTTGTGATGAAACCCCTTAACTTTCTTCGCTTATGGAAGAGTATAGGTGTCTACACTAGCTGTGTTATTCTATGTTGTCTTATTTGTTACTGTGTAATAAACACATAAAGTTTTCTAAATCCTTCAAAATGCACAGTTTTACAAACTTTCAAAATAACAAAAATATCTCGTTGTGGCTTTATTCGGTGAAAAGTTATCATTTTTACACAGACAGATTCGATAATTTTCTCTGAGTTTGAAACAAAAGTCACCATGGACTCTAATTCTATATTCAAGAAATATTCTCCAGTAGAAAACCTAGATGACAAACTAAGAACTTAACATAACGATAAGTGTGATTACTTCAATATTTTCTCGTCAAACTTCCCTGATCTATCAAGGAAGATATAATTTCCCTTCTAACCTATCAAAAAAATTCATTTTGGCTTGGTCATTAATTAGTTTGTTTCACTAAAGAAATATCACTTCTGAATTGAGAAAGGCAACTAATTTAGCCAACATTTCTGAATTTTAATTGGAAAACGTTTGTTTGTGTTATTTTTCCTTATGGATTTTCATATTTGTCATGTTATATTCACATTGTACAATACATGTATAACAAGCATTCTTTGCTTGTCCCCTACCGGCAAGTGAAATCTAGTTAAATCTCGTTAAAACTATTCCGTAAAAAATCGTTGAAGTGGAACGAAATGCAAACTTGAAATTTACCTACCAAAAATTAGCTCAATGTCTCCAATCGTATAGAAAAACATTACGAAATAAAGTTCAAAATTGAAAAGGTCGAAATTCTTTAAAAAATTAAAGCGAGACTCCTATACCAAAAATCA